GACAACATGTGGTATCTGGATAATGCAGCAAGCAACCACATGTGTGGAAAAAGAAACAGGTTCGTGGGTATGGATGAATCGGTGAAAGGAATGTCGTATTTGGAGACTCCTCGAAGGTTCCTATCAAAGGCAGAGGAACTATACTCATCCGGTTGAAGAATGGCTCACAGCAATTTATCAGTGATGTGTACTATGTCCCGGACATGACTAGTAACATCCTGAGTTTGGGTCAGCTGATGGAGAAAAATTATGAAGTCCACATGGTGAATCGTAAACTGGAGCTATTCAATGAGAAGAAATAGTTGTTGGCCAGAGTTCCAATGTCGAGAAACAGAATGTTCACGCTGAACATTCAGACTGAAATAGCAAAGTGTTTGAAAGCATGCATGAAGGACAATACATGGCTATGGAATCTGAGGTATGGCCATCTAAATTTTGGAGGCCTAAAGTTACTCGGTCAGAAGAAGATGGTGCATGGTCTGCCAGTGATCAATCATCCAGACCAGTTGTGCGAAGGATGCTTAGTTGGGAAGCAATTCAGGGCAAGTTTCCCAAAGGAGTCCCTGTCACGAATCACCACTTGAGCTCGTCCATACAGATCTCTGTGGACTGATCACTCCAACATCGTTCGGAAATAACAAATATTTTCTACTGTTCATCGATGACTTCAGTAGAAAGACATGGGTTTACTTCTTAAAGCAGAAGTGAGACACATTTGAAGTTTTCAAGAAGTTCAAGATGCTCGTGGAGAATGAAAGTCGTCGCTACATCAAAGCAATGAGATCGAATATAGGGGGAGAATATATGCTCAAGAAATTCAGAAGGTTTTGTGAATATCAAGGAATTCGCAGGTTTCTCACAGTCCCAAGATCGCCACAACAGGATGGAGTCTTTGAGAGGAAGAACAGAAATGTCCTCAACATGGCGAGAAGCATGATGAAGAGCAAAAACCTGCCGAAAGAGCTATGGGCTGAAGCTGTTGATTGTGCAATCTACTTGCTGAACAAGTCACCAACAAAGAGTGTTTGGAATCAAACACCCTAAGAAGCATGGAGCATAAGGAAACCCACAATCTCTCACCTTCGAGTCTTCGGAAGTGTTGGATATGTGCATGTACTGGATCAAGAAAGGAAGAAGTTGGATGACAAAATCAAGAAGTACATATTCTTGGGATACTCAGAACATTCAAAAGGTTACAAAATGTTTGATCCTATTATTAACGCGCTGCTACGGATCGGGAAATCGCCGGAATCAATAAAGCAAGAATATGAAAGCGAGAATCGAAAAACAGAGACACACGATTTACGTGGTTCACTAACACGATGTGTGTAAGCTAGTCCACGGGCGAGAGGGAGCAAGTTTCACTATATCGAGGAGATTACAGATGACAAAGGAGTATGAGAAGTATTTATAGTAATTCTCCATGCGGGTCTAAACCTAATGCAATCTGTCAAAGGAAACGGTTACAGACCAGGCCTAGAGACCCCCGACTACCAGTCGTAGCGGCTGATAATTCGATTCAAGTCACATCAACAAATCTCCACCTTGAATTGAATCCTCTTCCTCTGAAATATCATATGTACTCTGCTCCCTCTCTCTCTCTCCCACCATCAATGCCCCGTAGGGTGGAGTCACCCACTCAAGACATTCAGCAAGTCCAAGCAATGTTGGAACTTGCCATGTGGAACCGGCTTTGTGAACATATCAGCAAGATTATCCGCGGTTATAAGTCTTAGTACGTAACCGTCAATCCAACCGATCACGTATTAAGGTCGAACCTAAACCTAAAATACCGGGGTGTTACACTATATGGTCTGAAACAAGCACCTAGAGCTTGGAATAGCATGATTGACAAATAATTTCAGCAGAACGGTTTCAGTAAATGCCCACATGAGCACGCACTATACTGCAAGGTACAAGGGGGAGCAATCTTGATGGTTTGTTTGTATGTAGATGATCTCGTCTTCACAGACAATGATCCTAAGATGTTTTAAGAGTTCAAGAAGATGATGGTTCGTGATTTCTAGATGACAGACATCGAACTGATGTCATACTATCTCGGAATTGAAGTGAGTCAAAAATATGAAGGAATCTTTATCTCACAAAGTGGTCTAGCCAAAGAAGTCCTGAAGAAGTTTAAAATGGAGAACTGTAATCCTGTCAGCACACCAGCTGAGTGTGGACTAAAGTTATCCAAGGATGATAAAGGAGAGAAGGTCAACTCAACAGAGTTTAGAAGTCTCGTGGGAAGTCTAAGATATCTGACTTGTACCAGACCAGATATTCTCTACGCAGTTGGATTAGTCAGCAGATACATGGAGGCACCAACTATGTCACACTGGAATGCGGCAAAGAGGATACTGCGGTACATTAAAGGTACAATCGATCATGGTCTACTTTATGCTAAGTCAAAAAAAATTAAATTGGTTGGATACTACAATAGTGATTGGCCAGGAGATATAGATGATCGCAAAAGCACTACAGGATTTGTATTGTTTATGGGAGATACACCTTTCACATGGAGTTCAAAGAAGCAAGCTATTGTGACATTATCTATTTGTGAAGCTGAGTAGGTTGCTGCGGCATCGTGTGCGTGTCATGCGATATGGCTCAGAAAGTTGCTGAAGGAGTTGAACATGACACAAGAAGAATCAACTGAGATTTATGTGGATAACAAGTCTGCCCTGGCGTTAGCAAAGAATCCGGTGTTTCATGATTGCAGTAAACACATTGATACAAGATATCATTTCTTACGAGAGTGCGTGGAGCAGAAAGAAGTGACGCTGAAGTATGTGAAGACTGGAGACCAGATTGCTGATATTTTCACGAAGCCGTTGAAGCAAGATGTATCTGTCAAGATGAGAACACTACTCGGAGTTACGGCTAATTAAACTTTAAGGGGGAGTGTTGAAATTAAAAATAAAGTTTAATTGTTAAAATAAACTAAAAATCAGATCATCCTAGAAGCTAGCTATGTGTGTGGTGGTGATGTGTTGGAATGAAAAAAATCAGAAAGTCCTAGTGTTTTCTACATATGGAAGTGGCTGGAAATAAGGATTAAACAAAAGAAAAATTAGATAGCCACAAAAGAGAGGTAGGTTTCAACTGTCTCATTTAATTGACCTAAATATTTCACAATTGTAAAGCCTATAAAAAGCTGTCTTCTGTTTGGGTTGTAGAAGTAGAGCAAGAAGCAAAATATAAAGAGCCAATAAAAAAAAGTCTATTCCCTCATTTCTCTCTGCCCATTTCTTTCCCACAATTAAACATAAAACTTTTTCCATTGGCTAGCTCAAAATAAGCTCCCCATCAAAGCCCACCAAAGTTGCCATTTCATATACCAAACGTGCCCGCCAAATTACCCAAAGGAAATAAAGGCTTTATTTCAAACAGAGGTTGTCAAGAATTTGATGCAGTGATGTCTGCAAAACAAAATTGAATGGCTATAAATAGGGGTGTTTAAACGGTTTGGTTACCGTGGTAACTGTTTTAACCGGTACTATTTAGATAATTTGGTTTGATTAATTTGGATAATTGGTTTGGTTTGATTAAAGTTTTTAGCTTGTTTGGTTTCGGTGGTTTGGTTTCAAACACTCCTAACCAGTCAAACCAGATTAACCAGTTAAGTAATTAGTCATATATCTAACATATATTATATACACATACTTAATACTTAGCATAACCACTCATGAGTTAACGTTCATCCCTTTTAGACTCATAAAATATAAAGCTCAATATTGCTCATATAATGTATATTTGTAAATGTAAAGTGTAGACCACAACATATGGACGCCTAATTTAGATAAATTTCATACATTATGATGGATGAAAACTTGAAAGGAAGGTCATTTCCAGCCTATGATAATTGCTAAGAGACTAAGTCAATTTACACAAACACAACAATTCATTAACCCATAGTTCCATACCATTGTCATAAATTTTTGTTAGGTGAATACTTCTATACTAATCGTAAGATAATTGTCTTAGTTGCATGTATTTTTGTTAAGGTTCAACTATAACTACGTGTTGTTATGTTTTATTCATTATATAAATTACGAATTGTTGCATTAACCGAAAAATTTTCATAGTCAATGATAATGAGATTTTATATTGGTTAATCTGGTTAACCAATTAACCAAACCGATTAAACTTTAGTTTGGTTAATTTGGTTATTGTATTAGTTTGGACGGTTTGGTTATAATATTGTATTCCATGGTTAATGGAATTTAGCCTTATTTGGTTTGGTTATAACCATGGTAACCATTTGAACACCCTATAAATGATGTTCTCCGCCTGCAGAATTTGGAAACTTCTGCTTTTTTTTTAACGAAAGCAGGAAAATCCCCTGGGAACTCCTGCTTTAAAAGTGCTTTTACTAAGGATTTGAAATTTCAAAATGCTTTCATGTCTTTATTTATTTTAGCAGAGGTAGCATTGTTTTGCCTTAGGCCTCAAGTTTCAGAACCTACTCACTCTCAAAAGTAGCTTTTTGTTGATTGTTTACCCGAAATAAATGGGTAAATGTCACATTTGGTCACTGAAATTACTAAATAATGTCATGCTTAGTTACTAGAAAAATTTAATATCGATTTTGGTCACTTGAATTACTGAATCATGTCACATTTAGTCACTCTCTCGTTATTTTCCGTCCACAAAGTATTGTTTGATATCCATAATACCTCAAATTCCTAATAAATAATTAGGTTTTTAAATCTAACATAATAGACAAAAACAGTCATTTTAAAATCCATGAATGCGAATGACTCTAACTGTTAATCGGGAAATGAGATTTGTTAGCAAGATGAAGCTATGTTGACCAACGGAAAAGGGAGGAAAGAAAACAGAGTAGATAAATTGTGAAGTACACTTTCATAAGTTCCTGCCTTCTCTATTCATTAGCCGAAGATTCCAAGCTATTAACAATTGAAAGGAATGCTCCATTTTGGTCGGTGGAGATGTATAAAATATCTCTACATATATTGTCTCCATTATCAATCTTTTCAACAAGAACTACCTTCTTCCGAAAGGGATTCAGTACTTACACACACCAAATTCCTGTTGAACGTGTACACATTACATGACACAACACTCGCCTTCACCATCTTTTCTCCATAGTGCAATTGTTGCACAGAATCGCCTTCCGTTGACCAAACACCAACTTCATCGAGCTGGCCTTGCTTCCAGCACAGGTTGAGGGTCACCCCTCCTTTCACCCTTAACCCCTTGGCACACCCATCGGGCCACTTGTCGCGTGGAAGAGCAGGTAGCAAGTACAGATCAGTCCCTGTGCCTTGTACTAGCATCTCTGCTATAGCTGCCGAGAAGCTGCACCCAAAAGAAAAGGAGGGGACATTGCAAATGGTTGATTATAATGAATGCGGGTGGGTCATGAGTTGTTTTCGCCAAGTGACACAAGTATGTAGAGTTATTGCTCACCCCAAGTTGGCATCAATCTGGAATGGTGGGTGAGCTGTAAACAAGTTGCTAAAAACTCCTCCTTCGTAGTCTCCTTCATGGGCTGGATCCACCAAGTTGAATAAATGCTTCACCATTTCGTATGCCTTGTTGCTCTTTTGTAGCCTTGCCCACAGTGCAGTTTTCCACACGGTCGACCATCCTGGACCCTCGACACCTGTTTTGTTTTTTTTTTTTTTTTCCCGAGTTTCGCAGCAGTAGGACGACAAGGCAAATGTGGTGACAAATGCGTGGAAACAGGGTGAAAAAGTCAATCTTCTCATTCAATTCGGACAGGGTACCTCTCTTGACAAGAGTCTTTTCAGAAGCACTGCAAAGGTCAGGAGTGTGTTGAGGAGTAATGGCGTGGCCAGGGAACAGCCCAAAGAGATGAGAAACGTGCCTGTGCTGAGGCTCTGGGTCTTCAAACTCAAAAGCCTGCAGCTCTCTCAAGGAAACAGAACCAAACCAAACCAAACATCACGGTTTATACATAGGTAGGAGAAGATTGATTGTGGTTTTACGCGCCTACCCATTCCATGACGGTGCCATCCTTGGCAATTTTAGTGGGTGGCAGGCGGGCTCTAGCGAGACGAACTTTGTGAACGAGTTCATCATTCTGCCTCCCTAGAGTCTGTTGAATTTTGCAGGGTGCATGAAGGGCAGAGAAGTTAATTTGGTTGGAGTGGCCCGATAAGGATAAGAAGCGAAATCTCACAAGGAAGAAATTCATTTTTCTTACCTCAGCAGCGGCAAGAATATCTGAGAAGACTTGTGTTATGATTGACATGTCCATAGTTGTTGAGTTGCTCACACTAGCTTGCTTGCCATCTGGAGCAATGAATTTGTGCTCAGGAGAAGTTGATGGGTTGGTTTCCAAATGACCTCCCTGGCCCACCACTAACCAGCCTAGCAGAAACTCTGCACATCCTTCCAACAAAGGGTAGCCCTTCTTCCCGAGGAAGTCCTGGTGGCGTACAATACAAGCACACAAAAAATGGTTAAGAAAGGATGTGCTAAGACAGGGCGGGCGAGAAGGGAAGGGAAGGGAAGGGAAGGGACATTGGAAACTAAACAGCTTACTTTGTCCATTGTATAGCTATAATGCTCCCACACGTGAGTACAAAGCCAAGCACCACCCATCGGCCACATAGCCCATACGGCATCTCCCTGATCTGGAGACGTTTTAGCCCATATGTCACTGACCTGATGAGCAACCCAGCCATTGTTAACTCCGTAGTTCACCTGCCACAATTGTATCAACCGAGGGAAGAAATGTTGGCTGTCATACACACAATGTTTTGAGCGGAAGTGTTGGATTAGAATCAGAATGAAGATAGAGTGCTTGCTTTGCTTACTTTAGCGGTCTTCTTCCCGTTGACTGCAAGGGAGGACATGTAGTCGAACAATGGCTCTTGGCATTCCTTGAGATTGCACGGCAGTGCTGGCCAGTAGTTCATTTGCAGATTGATGTTCAAATGTTGAGCCCCACTGTACAAAGGAAAGGAGAAGCACTAGGAGTGAGTATTTCCACCAAAAAATCAAATGAAATTAGAGGATCAAGATGCATTTACTTACTCCCATGGCGGGTTGACATCCTTGTTCCATATCCCCTGCAAATTTGCCACCTGGGTGCCAGGCCTGGAACAAGATATCAGCAAGTAACGACCGTACTGGAACATGAGAACCACCAGCGACGGATCCTCGTCTGTCTTAAAGGACTTGACCCTCTCTGCAGTTGCCACAACATGGCCCCCTGAGTCTGAGTCTGAGTTGGAGCCAGGAGACAGCTGCAACGAAACGCGGCGGAAAAGGCTCTGATAATCCTCCAAATGCCTCGCTCTTAGATCCGCGTACGCCACATTGGCAAGTGAGCTCAACGCCTTGTGGCAGTCTGAATTTGGGTCCTTGTTGGAATCGACAGGGCTAGTGAAAGGCCCATCGAATGAAGATGAAGCCACCAGAATGAGCACTGCCGAATCGGCGAGATCAACCTTGAGCTTGTTCCCACCATCTAAGACGCTGACGGCTGCTTTTTCCCCTCCTCGGATCCTCAAGTCCAGCATGGCTGCGAAGCGAATTCCGTTGGGGTGTCCCCTGCAGCTTCCTTGCAGTAGGATTTGGTTTTGCCCTGGGAGGAGCGTAGTGGTGTGATTCAGCTTGCTGTGCAGATGAAGAGTGAATGACAAAGACCCTGGTTTGCTCCCAGAAATTCTGGTCACTATTGCTTGGTGAGGGTTTGTGGCGAAATGCTCCCTTGTGTAGTCCACACCCGCAACCGAATATTTCACTGTAGCGGTTGCAGTCTCCAAATCCAGTTCTCTGAGGTATGTGGTTGGATCGTATTTCTGATGCGAGGCGTCAAATTCAAGCACTATGTCCCCGAGCAGCTGGTAAACCTACATTTATTTATTTATTTATTTATTTACAAAACCCTCGCCTCTAGTTCTACATTTCCTTGCCTGGATTCTGAAAATTGAAGTTGTGGGGAACAGAGCAGAACACACCTGAGAAGGAGTTGCTGACAATTTAATCGCCTCCGCGGATGCTTCCGGGTAGAGTCCGGAACTAACGAGCTTTCTGACCACCGATAGAGCCGCCGGCGCATTGGGATCGGAGTAGCTTCCAGGAACGCCGGTCCACAACGTATCATCTAACACCGAAACAAGCAAAAATCAAGAAAAATCCCAAACCAAATGCACAACCACATTCTCAAGCCGGTTAGTTAAATATCAGATATTCAATCAGTCTCTGTTCTATGCTCGGCACCGTTAAGCTGAAGAGTCTCGTTTGCTACGCCGCCCCAGACAATGGCGCCGAGGCGGCCGTTGCCAATGGGAATGGCGTCGGTCCAGTACTTGGCCGGGGCGGTGAATGTGAGCTTCAGGGAGGAGGCGGTGGCGTCGACTAGCAGCAAAGAGTCGTGGAGGGAGGCAATAAGGAACAGGAACCGCAGAGGACCAAGAAATGAGGAGATGGAGTTTATGCGGTGGTGGGAGCGAGAGGTAGACAAAGAAGAAGCCATGGGAGGAGGAGGGAAAGGAGCGGCGAAAGAGATTTGGGAGTCCCGGCAGCAGCAACCTTCCACACCATATAAATGCCTCTGTCTCTGTCTCTGTCTCTGAAGTCTGCTCTGCTCTGCTCTGCTGCTTCTGTATGCAGTACAGCTAGACTAAAGTTGTTATTAAAATTGGGGAAAATACACAATAATTAATTATAACAACACAGAGATAATTTTATATGAGATCAGATCCCGTAAGTTAACATAGCTAGCCTAGCCTAGCCTAGCATATATGACATGAGAGCAGATCCAGCATGTGTGGACTAGGACGCGAGACACTATGCAGATTCTCCTCACTACCCTTCGATTTTCTTTTCTTTTCTTATTGCTATTCGCGGAATTGCTCACATTGATCACTATGCTTTGCTGTTGCTGTATGTACTCCACCACCAGCCTTGTTCACACCTAAAATTATTTTTGATTCAATTAAATATCGCATTAATGAGTTTCGGCATTTAATTCGATACCACGGATAAAAAACAGTGCCGTTTGGAGTTGAGCGGCATCACGAAGAGTTAAAACGACACCGCAAGGAAGCTCAACGATACCGCGGCACTGGAAACGACATTGTTTGTCGGAGAACAAGAGGTGGGTGGCATGGTTAGTGTTGGTGTTGGAAAAAGATTTTTATTATTTATTCCTTGTCGAAAGAGGAAAAGCGTTACCGCGTGGAAACAAGCGGCATCGCGGAGAAGTAAAACGATACCGCGGATTTAAAAACGGTACCGATGTGCTAGCAAACGACAATGTTTAAAATATTTAAACAATGTCGCGAAAGGAAAAGCAAACGAAGTTGTTTTGGGGAAGGAAATGATACCGCGAGCAAGCCCAACGGCACCGCAAGACGGAGAAAAACGGTACCGTTTGGTAGAGAACAATGTCGCGGAATGAAAAACGACATTGTTTGATGGGACCGGGACGGAGCGGTTCAAGGTCGGCATCGATTTGTGAAAAGCGATGCCGCGGAAAGATTAAACGCTGTCGAGGGATGAGAATACAATAATGAGCCAGTTTAATTAATTAATCTTTTTAATAATTATTTTAGACAGTGTTGTTTGGCTGAAAACAACGCTGCGAGAGAAAATAACACCGCGGATTAGAAAAACGACAGTGTTTAATATAAAACAATGTCGTGGAGTAAAAAAGCAGATAGAGTTGTTTGGGAAAGAAAACGACATCGCGTGAGACCCAACGACGTTGCATGGTAAACAATTTCAGCGGTCAACAATGCCGCAGAGTTAAACGATGTCGTAAATTCATATTGTGAATTTGACAGTGATGCGAGCTCAACGACATCGCGATGGGTAACAACACCGATCTCAGCGATGTCGTGAGGTTAGTTATGCAATGTCCCGAGTCAGACAATGGCGTGGAGTTTAATTACCAACACCGTTGAGGGTCTTGCAAGGGCGCGATTTCAATTAATAATGCGGTTTTGTTAATAATTTCGCGGCTCAAATCGATGACGGTATTGCAAGGGCCCTGGTGCTTTCTGAGGATTCAGACTAAACACCACCTCTCTAATCTCTTCTGCTGTGATTTCCTTAACAAGGACCTCACATTCATGATTAGGTAAGCGATGACGTACAAGCTGCTCCACCTCCTCTCTACTCGGGTTAATTTCCAAATTGACTTCCCCCAATAATTTCTTATAAAACCCCAGAACCTCTTCAACAATCTGATTAGCTTGAAATATTTCCTCATCTGACTCTTTAACCAATTTCCTGATAGCTCTTTTTGAATTATGAATCTTGACAGCTTGATGGAAGAAATGCGAACTCTGATCTCCAGTTTTTAACCAAGATACTCTCGACTTCTGCCAGTAGAAGCTCTCATAAGCCGAGGTAATGTGATCATACTGATCCTTTTTAAGCGTAACTTCTTCAAAGTGTGCTGTGGTAGGATCAGAATATGCAGTTGCTTGGGCAAGCAATAGCTCACCCTCAGCCTCCTTAACTTGATCTTCCAAGTTGCCATAGACCTCTCTATTGAATTTCTTTAAAGCTATTTTAACCTTACTCACCTTTCTTTGTATAATCTGCAGTGGTGTCCCTGAAACATCAGCACCCCAAGCGGCTTCTACTATCTCCAAAAAGAGAGGATGCTCTGCCCAAAACTCAAAATATTTGAACGGTTTGGGAAGAGATTGAATAGGGGCAACCGTACTCACCTGCACCCCACAGTGATCAGAGAAATGACCAGGGATAGCCTCCATAGCACAATCTTTAAAATATTCAATCCAATCCATATTAACTAGACCTCTATCAAGACGTCGAGCTTTAGGATGATTAGCATGTCTATTTGTCCATGTAAACTGTGGCCCTGTTGTTCTATAATCCATCAACTCCATCTCCTCTATCCATTTGTTGAAACCCTCCATACTCGTAGTAACTGATCGCTGATTGGACGTCTCCAGAGGTGTTCTGGTAGTGTTGAAATCCCCACCAATTATCCATGGATGGCCAACCACCTTCAACTGTGCAATCTCCTTGTAAGTATGCATTCTCTCAGCCTCATCATTGGAAGCATAGACTGCTGTTAGGAAAAATGAATCCTTATTAACATCCTCAACCAAGCAATGAACAAAAATTTTCCTTGGCTTCAGCACTTGTAATTTTATGGCTGAATCCCAAAACAACCAAACTCTTCCCAATTTGGAATCAAAACAGTTTAGACATTTTTGCCAATCCCCAAAAACCTCCTCAACTACTTCCTCAGCTTTATTCGCCTGTATTCTGGTCTCAAGAACTGCTACCACATCCACCTTATCCCTACGCAGGACTTGCATCAAGTCCCTCTGTTTGGAGGTTTTGTTAAACCCCTTACATTCCAAAACAAGACAATCATTTTGAAGTTGGGGGTTTCCCCCACCCTTCTTTGTATCTTTTTTCTTTAACCATTAACTTACCTTTATTTTAATTAAATTAAACAAAAAGATTAAAAAAAGGAAAATAATATCTCCCACACCTTTTCGTCTTCCCCAACTCTCCCGAGAACCCTTCCATCGTCCCACTTTCGTGAACCCACCCCAAACCCTTTCCACCTCGTCAACGATGAATTTTCAATGTTGCGCAACACCACAAATAGATCTACGGACCCCTTGCTGTGAAGCCCGAGCCGATGCACCACTCTTCGCGGACGATGGTAAAGGTGGTGAATTGATAGGCTCGGGAGATCGGCCCACCATCGGGGAGGAGGGAGAGGAAAAGCTTCTAGCATGTTCGGAGGTTGTAAGCGGCGAGGTCAATTTTTTCCCATTACCCAAACTCAAACGTAGACACCGGGATGAAAATCGTAATTACGATTGGCAAATTAGGGATTTCTAGACACAAAGGTTAGGGTTCACAGATGGGGATTTCAAAATCCAACACCGGAAAGCCCTTTAAAATGGTCGCCCATCGCAGTTGGTTAGCGGCGTCTCATTCTTCTTCTCGCCGGCTGTGAAAGGATGTCATTATATTGTTAATCTAACCGACAACATCAATCTTCACCTCTGGATTTTGTACATCGTCAAATCTGGGTTGGGAATAAGAGCTTCCCGTATACTGGGATGTGTTCGCTATCGTCAACAATGGTGGTCGGGCATCGTCCAGAATGGTGAGTTTTATCGACGAGAAAGATGAAGAATGGAAGGGCTTTGGGTCATAGGGGATAGACGATTGTGGTAGCTGGATTGACTACGGTGGAAACACGATCAGTCTCGCCGCTAGAGGAGGAGGAAGTTCGGGCACTCCACCGTTGGTCCCAAACAATGTCCTGAGTCGGTACTGGCATTTTCGACTAAGACGACAAAAGTACGCTGCTGAATCGCTTTATGCCTTGCGTCGGCATGAGACGACGGAGCTGTGACGGAAGAAGGCAGAGCTGGGTATAGGGAGGATAAAAAAATTGTATTATTTTAATGTAAAATATGACGTGACGATTACGTGGCATGATGAGTCTAGGCGAAAATGACGTGTCGTCCAAGTTGAGGCCACATAAGCTTAACATCCACTTAACTAATAGAGTTGCTAACGATGTTAAAATATTTGACGAAAATGGCTAAATTAGTCAAATAAGTTTAAAATTGTGGCTATTTTGCTGTATTTTTCAGAAAATGGCTATTATTGTCAAAAAGTGAATAGTTTATGGCTATCTAAGTATATTTTGCATTTCTCTGTCATAATAAAAAAAAGCAAACTTTTCCATTTTTTCCTCTTTCCACAAATCAAAAACACCAAAATTCCCCCTTGTTTTTTTTCTTCAAAAGTTCAAATAACCAAACTTCCATCTTCTTTCTCTTCCAAAAAGTTGAATACACCAAAACTTCCCTCTTCTTTTAAAAATATCAAATTACCAAATACATGACTTTACTTTACGAAATGAAAAAATAAGTTTACCTAAGTTTAGAATGAAAAACTTTAATTTGAAAAACTATGTATTATATGATATAATAATTATTCAAGTGGTTTAAGTGAAGTTCGGGTTGCGTTGGTCGAGTTACGGGTTAGTCGGATTCAGATAAATCAGATTCGGGTTAATCAGGTTGCAGATTTAATCAGATTGTGGGACAATCGAGTTCGGATTAATCGAGTTGCGGGTCAATCGAGTTGTGCATAGGGCGTGTTACGGATTGTTGACATTTATTCAAATCGGGTTGTGAGTCGAGTTGATCGGGCGAGTTAGTAGTGTCGGGTACACTTATAGTTTGATCATCAAGAGACCATCCACTATTTTCTTTGCACCGTTGGGCGGTTGGGCCATCTTAAACCCTAAAGCAAAACCCCTCTTTTGGCCACACTGCTATCGAGTCTTCGCAGCCTTCGCCTTTGTCCATCACTGTTCGCACCACAAACCATCATGGCCTGGCGCAATGGAGCTTCTTCCTTGTCGCGTTCCTTGATGTCTGCGGCCAGGGCACCATCTGTGCGTTCCTCTTCAGCTCCGCTTCCCCGCCTCCGCCCGTCGACCACCTCCGCTCCCCGCGTCCAGTCGCGCCGGCTCTCCTTCTCTCCTTCCAGGTATCTTGCTCGCACTTGTCAATACCAATCTGCTTGATAGCGTTGAAGCGACATTCGGGGCGTCTCGTCATTTAATTTGCACAATCTGGAGTCCTTCCTTCTGAATAACCGGGTTTATTTGGATCCAATTTAGTACTAGTCACGGGATGATTTCAGTGGAAGTAACGGGGAAGTTAGCTTAGTACGGTTTATCAATTCAGAATTAGCCTGTCTTGGTGGTTGTTTGGCATTTCGAAAGAGCAAAGGAAGGTATTCAATGAAATTCGTTTGCATTTGCCCGATGGTGGGCGTTTAGCATGGTTGATCTGCATCTTGTTTATGCAATAGTCAGTCGTCAGAAGCACGTAAATCAAGGTGACAGTGGGCTCTGTCAAAGCAAGCTGTTACTTGTAACCTACTTTTAAACTACTAAAAGCTAGGGAGTTAGGCCTGCATACCCCTGAATGCTTTCACTCTTTTGTTGGGTTTCAGGTTTCTCAGTACGTTCTCTCTGTTTCTTTTATGCTGAACACTTGAATTGTGGTCTTCCAGGAACTTTGGAGAGTTGGGATGCGTCCAGTCTTTCTTGCCACTGCACAGTATGATTGCCAAGACCCACCTCACTTCTCATCTCAATGCTAAATTGCGGGCTTTCTGCGAGCTGTCTCATGGTACCTTCTGCCATTCTTGTCTGGATCGCTAGTATTTTCTTTGTGAGTTTTACCATTTTTAGGGCACATGATGACATAAAAAGCTGCATGTCTTTATTTTTTTTTTTTTTGGTGTGCCTGTGAATAATCTTTGATAGCAAACCATTTGCTTTTGTATGAGCTTCTTATTGTATCTATGAGCTAGGTTGGATGTTAGTTTTCTGTGCATTTTGTTTATATGAATATTGGGATTGATAGGAAGGAATGGAAAAGACGGGTGATGCATCAGTCAACCAAAGGCGGAGGATTCATGCCATAACCGTAGGTTCTCGTTTCTTGTGATATCTTTTGTTTTCAGAAAGGATAAAGAAAAATGAATTCTCAACTTTCTTGAGTTAGAAGATGATCTTATGAACACCCTGAAGCATTATGCAAATAAGAGACATCTACAGACTACAATCGACATTCCTGGAACATTCCTAGGTTTCCTGTCCACTAAACTGGTTTCCACTTGCTACTATACTACTTTCCCTCTGAAATTCCCAGTCAGATTGTCCGATTGATTTCCAAGTTTGCAGATCTTACTGATGCACTCTTCCAGTGCATGGCAGTTACCATTCCTTAGGGTCCTAGAAACCATTGAATCTGAATCTAATACTTGGGACAAAGTTGACAAAGGAGACATCTACATGCCCCATTGTCTTGCTTGCTGTCCATTGTTCCTGTTTATCCACTGAGCATGATTTCCAAGCTTTAGTTGTATGTTTCAAATCTTTGACAGTATGCAATTTTGTTTTTGACTAGAAAACCGTGATTCCTGTGCGGCAGGAATGACTCTCTGTGTAAACGATGGCATTAATCACATCCATCACTACTCTTATGGTCTGATTCGTGGAACTCCAACTGACGTTTGTATAATTTGTTCGTCCGCCAGGTACTTAAATAGCCATTGGTTACGCATAACAAGTTAATTAAAGTCAGAAATCGGAAGGTGGGCTGTTCTGGTGGGGAACTTAGGCTGTTGAAGTACGGTTTTGAGCGATGCTTTTAATAGAGATGATTCTTTTTCTTAAGCTAGTTGCTCGATAAACCATTACCACTCCAAACTTGTATGACGAGTTAGCAGACAATTTTGGTAGGTCATCTGACATGATTATTGGACAGTTTATTTTATGTCATTGGTTATTTGCCATTATTAACACGTTTGAAATGTTAAGTCATCTCTTCTTCCAAGTGTCATTATATGTCTCTGCCGATTGGATGTAAAAATCTATATATCTATGTACGGTTGATTTGACTAAAGGGCAGAAGCCCCTCGGGCTCTGTACATGTCGAAGTGTCTTACGTTAAAAGACTCTGAAAAATTGAGACTTAATGATTTGTTAATGATTTGTTGGTTAACATGGTATTAGAGTTGGTTTTATCAAGTGGTTATGTGATCAATCTCTATTACTGTCAATATTAACAGTTAATTTGAGCACAATGTATGATGGGTGAGGAATTTTACAATGCTATATATAGCATTGGTACTATAGTTTTTTTTTTGTCTTTGTGGTTATTGTACAACTTCATATTGTACTTGTACTCTTGTACAAATTCTTATATGGTATAACTTGAAGTTGTACTTTTATATGATGGTACAACTGTAAAGTTGTACTAAAACATAATGGTACAAATTTCTTTATGGTACAACATGAAATTATAAATTTAACGTTAGGGTTAATTGCAAGGTTGGTCACTGGAATTACTAAAAAGGTTAATGTTTGGTCACTACAAATTTTTTAATTTCATTCGTGCTCACTAAGTTTACTAAAATATGTCATGTTTGGTCACTCTCCGTCGACGCCGTTAATTTTTTGTTGACATGCTAACAGAAATCTCGAGTCAATCGATTTTAACAAAAAAAAAAAAAAAACTTAAAACTCAACCCACCACATCATAAACCCAACCCATGAACTGACTTGACCCACCTGAAAACCCAAAACCCAGCACGAATCAAAACCCTAAATCCCAGAAATTGAAACCCCAAAACCCAGCACCAAGGTTGTCAAACCGGTTTATATCGGTGTGTCGGTTTCGCAAGTGAAATGGTCTAACCGTGGTATGACCGGTATGTATACCGGTTTGTGCCGGTTAACAAAAAATATGTCTAGAAAATGAAAACAGAAGCGGTGGCAGGGTTGAAACTTTTATAAAAATTAAGGGCAAAGTTGTATTTGGCGATCACTATATAAACCTAAGAATACCCACACCTAACCCTAGCCGCCCCTTCTCTACTCCTCTGCCCTCTCTTCTCCCTCTCATTTTCTCCCCTGGAAAGTCACATGATCAAATCGAGACCGCCATTGAAACATTTAAAGCAGTTAGCTTTGGATTGTGGAAGAAAAAGAGCAGAGCAAGAGAGCGTGAGAGTCCTCCAAATCTTCCCTTTTTGGGATTTATTGGTTGGTTCTTGTTCTTATTTTTACCTTCTTTCGCTTTTTATGGCCGGATCTCAGCGCTAATTGCTGGCGACGAAGGCTAGGATTTGAAGAACCACTAGTCCCCTCCCCTAGTTCATTAAGTCGACGAGTTCTGAACGTCGCCAATTGACCTGCCTCGTCGAGACGCGCCGCCGATCTGTTCATCGCCAGGAGAAAGTGAACATGCAGAGGAAATTAAAGGAGCTGGTTGCTGAACGAAAGAGCAAAACTGGGATGAACCGCAACCTGGACAAACCCGAATACAGAGTTTTGTTAACAAATCTGTGTATGTGAAAAATTGAAAAATGAACAAAACGATGGCGTACAAAGTAAAAGATCGGAAATTTGACTTCCGGTTGGACCATTGGTATTCCCAGAATTGACCAGTTTTGACCGGAATTGACCGGCTTTGACCGGAATTGCATGTCGGTGGTATTCCAGCCGGTTTTATGACCGACACCGGTTGAACATGGTCTAACCGACCGGCATACCACTGGCATGACAACCATGCCCAGCACAAATCAGAACCCCAAAACCCAGAAATTGAAACCCTAAAAACACAGATCGGGACGGATTCTTCGATTGCGGCAGAGACAGTGGATGCTGGGGTTCGCCTAGGTTGGTTGCACCGTCGATCTGCTTAATCTCACTTGGGTCTCCATCGGAAGAAGAAGAAAAGTTGATGGGTTCGCCTGGGTTGATTGCAGTGACGATCTGCTTGGGTTCCCCTGGGTCGTCGTCGGAAGAAGAAGAAAAGTTGGGTTCGCCTCGGTTGATTGCAATGGCGATCCTCCTGTCTCAGTCATGGTCATGGATCCTCTCCTCTCCTAGGCTCGTGAAGTTCACTGGTCCGTGGGAGGCCTCAATTGCATACGGGAAACACCACAAAGAAGCAAATCGATGTTGTCTCAGAAGCCGCCGGGTAGAAGAATAAAAAAAGGGTAGGCTCCTAGAGTGACAAAGAATAGGAAGTTCATGGATTTATTTGAGGACGAGAGCAAAAACGAAGAAAACAAGCTTGTGAGACAGCAAGGGTAAGAAATGGCCGGCGAGGAAATTGGTTGGGGAGTTTGAGAGGGTTGCCAAGGAAAATGAGGAGAAGAGAAAGAAGTGGGTCGGAGAGCAATGGCAGGGCTGATGATTCGGTGATGAAGATTGTGAAGGGAAGAAGTCGAAGAAGAGATTGAGGAAAGTTGGGGAAGATGGCAGAAGCAAAAATCAAGCTAGATCTGATAGTATATTTTGGGTTAATTTATGCCTGGTTTGATTGCAATAGCGATCTGCTTGGGTTCCCTGGGTCAACGTTGGAAGAAGAAGTCAAGTTGTTCTGGGCAGAAAGCATTATAAAGAAGATATTGGGGTCGGTTCATGGGTTTGGTTAACGGGTTGGGTTTGGCAAGATGACATGGCGGGTCAGATTTCATCATTTTCGGGTTAAATTAGTCTGATTTGGCTAATTCGTCTGCCACATCAGCACATAACGGTCTTCATTAACGGAGGCTAACGGAGATTAACGGAGAGTGACCAACCATGACATGATTTAGTAAACTTAGTGACCACGAATAGAATTAAATATTTATAGTGACCAAATATGAACGTTTTTATAATCCCAGTGACCAACCTTGCAATTTACCCTTTAACGTTATGGTACAACTTTTTAAGTAGTACATTAAAGCACCAATGCTTTATAGCATAGTAGAAGCGCTCATGTTGTACAGTACCCATTTCAGTACTAAGGGTGGGTTGATAACCCACAACTGAAGACATTAGAGACTGATATAAGATCCATAATTAATATTCTCTCAACAACTCGAGTTATTGAGATTGAATGTTTTGTTCTTTAGCACAGTCCACTGTTCGATTTGAGTATTTGAGAAAAAATGTAGGATTTTTAGGGAAGAGATCTCAAACTGAAAGCTTTCATTTTGTGGATTACCAACTTATAAACTGTTAGCTTTACAGGGAAGTAGAATACAAGAGAGTTAATTTTTAGGGCTAATACCACTGGGAAATCCGAACTACTGACTTTTTGTCATTTGTGTCCTAAAGTATTCGATATGACATTTGTGTCCTAAACTATTTTCTGTTAGAGTTGACTAGCGTTGACCGTTAGTTTTTAACAGAAAGCCTAGTCTGCTCTGACGTGGCATGTGATGTGGAATTTTATTTTTATTATTTTTCCATAAAAAATGAATAAACTAACAAAAACAAATTAAAAGAAAATTTAAAAAGCAAAAACTCAAATCCGCATATCTGCATCTCCGGGGGAAACAATGAAGAAGTTCAAAAAAAAAAAAAAATTCACTTTCCCGACGAACAGAGGTAGTAGAGAAGAAGGAGGGAGACTCAAGCTTCCCTCTCCTCCTCCACGACCGCAGGCCGTCTCTTCAACTCCCCCATGCCCAAAAACCTGGTTCATCTTCGGCAAGCTCCTCCACTTCGGATCCGCCCTGCTGCATCGATATCCCACCCCCAATTCTTCTTCTTCGCAACCACCCGCCGCCGCTACATCGATCGCCCACCCCCAATTCTTCTTCTTTCCAACCACCCGCCTTCGTTGGATCAATCTCCCACCCCCAATTCTTCTACGCAATCACCAGCCGCCGCTGCATCTATCTACCACCCCCAATTCTTCCTCGTAGAGAGCGACGCCTCACTGGAGGAGATGGCGGCGACTGGGCTGGGTACTCTGATGATGGCGACGGTGGGCTTTAAGGGTTGGAGACGGAGACAGAGTAGGAAGCGAGGAGGTCGTGGTCCGTTGTAGGTCGTCGTCTCCGCTGCTTAGAAGACTTCATCGAAGTCGGCACTAACCGTGCTACCTGGCGTTGTTTATTGTCTTGATGATGGCCAGATCTGCCTTGTAGAGCCTGATTTCTGGACGGTGATGGATGGGAGGAGCTTGCGGTGCCTCACGGTGGCGGGAGATTGTCAGCGACTTGGTCTTAGCTGACATCGACGTAAGATTCCAAGCCTATTGAATTAGAAAAGAGAAAACACAGGGGAAATTAGGGTTCCAGTGTCTACCTCATCTGCTTCCTATTTGCCTAGGATTTTTGATTGTCCTCTAATTTGTCGTCTGTGTGTTTCTAAGGAAGAGGCGAAGAAATATGTGAAGGAAGGAACCTTGCTACACGGAGAAATAATAATTCAAACCAGATCGTGTCGGGGGCGTTTGGGTTCTTGGTGGGGAGCTGGGCAACGATGTCTGCGGGGGGAAAGGCAAGCCCCGGGGACGGATTGATTGTTAGATTGATTGTTTGACAGCGGCGAAGAGAGCATTCAGCGGCGGCGGGGATTTATGGGCTACAACAGCGAAGAATTTTTTGTTGCTTTGGTTATTTTTTGCTTTTTCAATTTTAGTATTTATTTAAGGGGTCGTTTGGATGGAACATTTGTAAAATGAGACAATTTGACGTAAATGACTCATTATAGAAAATGAGGCAATTCTGTGAGAAATTTGTTCAGAATTGGCTTGTTTGGATTGTTATTTTTCACAAGACAATTGAAACAATAAATTTTATGAAAATACACTTTTGTCCTCATCTTTTCCCCTTTTTCCCCCTCTTTGTCCATCTTCCTCTCTGTAACCAGAAGCCCACGACACATTGAGACAAAAGGAAAACCAGTGGCCAGTAAAAGCCAAATTCATAGAGGAGAAACAACTCAAGAGCCTGCAATTTTATAGACAAAGCATGAAAGTAGCTAACTGAAAGAAGACCATCTGTCTTCTGCTTGTTTTTTTAAGCAGCAGATACAAAAAGCTTCCCCTAACTACAGACAGAGCCAGCTGACAGTGACAAGTTGAGTGATCTCAATTTTCTCATCATGAATTGAAACTAGCAAACTGCTGGCAAAAGGAAACCAACAAAACAAGGATGAAGTCAAATTCTACCTTGAGAACCAGCCGGCCTTCCTTAAGGGGAGCTCTGAATGAAGCTACTCACAAGCAATGGATAATTGAATGCAACCCGGCGATATCTTCTCCTCCACCTCCTCTCCATCTCCTTTTTTGTTTCCAGCGAAGAGCCAGAGCAATCCACTTTGCTTTGATTTCTGTTTGCCTTCTTCGAGATCCATAATCGGTGGCGGCGTCTTCCGTCACAGGCGACGGCGGATCACTAATAGCGGATGAGGATTCCCCTCTTCCAGGAAACCTGAAAACAATGATGGCGGCGCTATGGGGATCCAATTTGCTTGGATATGGGAGGATCGAACCTACGCGACATTCCGATCTATCTTGCCATTTCAATTTCGAGCTTCCACTCCGTCTCCGACCTCTATTGGAGCTTTGGTACGAGGGATTTCGCCGGAGTCTGATTCACAATCGACGATGAACGACAGGGGATTGAACACAGAGGCTGATTTTGTTGAGCCGCTCTAGTCGGCGACAATCATCGCTTTGGGATTTGGCTTTTCAAGCGATACCGAACAAGGAGAAAGACGAGCTGCACAAAGGAGTCTTGAACGGCAAAGGGTGAGCAGCTAAATGAATCGAGCGTCGAGCTAGATGAATCGACGATCATCGCTATGGGATCTGGCTCTTTGAGCGAATCTCTCCTCCCGACATCTGTTTCTTTTTCTTTCTTCTTCGACAAATCGAGAACAGCCGCCCATGCATCCCTCTCTCTCGATCCCCTTGCCAGCCATCGTGCTCATACTGTTGTTTCCACCGAAACGAACGGAGGTTGTCGTCGAGGGCGAGAATATAGCTCGTCGACAGAGATGAAGGTTTTCTGCAGAGAGGGGAAAGAAAGAGAAGAGGAAGGTTTTCCTCCGCCGAGAAAGGAAAGAGAAGAAGAGAAGAGGAAGAAAGAGAAAGGGTGTGTTACTTTTTGTGTCTGCAGAGGAAGAGAGAAAAGGGAAAGGTTAGAATTGGGAAAGATGAGAGAAAAACGGAACAATTGAGAATATCTCCCCCTACCCCAGGTATTTTGAATTAACCCATAACGGAACAATTCTTATTTCCCCACTGCAAAATGTTTCATTTTCATTTTTTATTCCCAAACGGGTCAATTGGTTACAATTGACTCATTTTGAATCAATTGACCTAAATTACCTCATCAAAAAACCTCATCCAAACGACCCCTAATTGTTCGGATTGATTGCTTGGGTGAGTTCATATATTTTTTTTAGTTTTTCAATTTTAGTATTTATTTAATTTTGAATTAAAAATATGAGGTGTCAATGACATGGCATCTACGTGGCTGCCACGTGTTTGCCACATTAGCAAAAGTCAACATCAAGTTGACCACCGTTTGGTCAACCGTTATATATAACGGTCAACAAAATCGTTAGGACATAAATGACACAAAACTATAATAGGTTGGGACACAAATGTCATATCGAATACTTTAGGACACAAATGACACAAAGTTAATAGTTCGGGTTTCCTAGTGGTATTAGCCCTAATTTTTATTGCCCAAATCAATGACATGGTATACAACCCGCCTGTCCAATGCAGATTCCCCTTCCGCACGTGCAACGATAGAGGCTGATTCCCTACCCGTCCGTCCATCGGTAAAGGCACCCAAGTAGCATGTCCGCGCCTACGACGGATCGTGGCGGCTTTCAGCCTGGCCGTTAGTGATAGTGAACTCGTGTTTTTCACATGCTTGGGCGAATTTAATGATTTATTTGAACGAATTTAATGAAAATTCACTTGAAATATATTATTTATGTTCATTTAAAATTGCCGTTTGTTGTACTTGTAGTTGTAGGAGGGAGGACAAAATGTAGAAGTTACATACTCTTTCGCCACTATCATCAAACTACAAGTAGATTATTATAAGTGATTCGGTAAGAAGTCCATTTATTTGTGTTTAATAGAGTTTAATTACTACAACATAATTGTTGCACGACTAACCTAAATGTTTTTACCCAGTATTTTTATTAAGGCAAGTTTGGGAGACAACCTAAGTGTTGATTACACGTCATTGTTCATAAATGATGTTGTTTATGATACCCATGATAATGCTCTGTGGAACCTCACTAGGCCCCTTGACGAAATGGCCCTCTCAACTCCTAGCAAATGGGTCACCGTCTCTCATGGTCTATGGTCAAACACCAAGAAAATCCCCCAGAGCCTGCTAGACTAGTTCTCCCAAGTTGCATATACATCCAGGCAAGCGCACCAACACTTCATGCATACTTAGTGAACGTCTACAGATCACTGAAGTAAGAGCACAACCATCCACGAGCACGATCAGAACTCTTGTCCACAAAAAACGTGGACCCTATCAAACACAGTAAGTAACATCATGCCTCAACATCCTCATCCCCCGAAGCACGCATACGTGTTTTGGCCTCATCTACCAACACCCACCACCATCATACCAACGTATGCCACGTGTTGACATTGCATTCTTATATGAAATCCCAAGAAGATCATCCCACTTATGAATGGAGGATCACCCCTAGCTGGGGAAACAAGTAACTCTCCATTCACTGGAATCTGAAGCAGGAACGAAACATCGTGAAGAGTGATAGTCATCTCCCCGAATGACATGTGAAAAGTATTGGTATTCGGTTGCCACCCCTCAATAAACGCCTCCAAAAGAGGATAATCAACACTATGCATCATGCATCTAATCGAGTGGTACAAACCAGATGCCCTAACCAAGGCCTCTACACCTGGATTCGTAAACTCGTATGCCCCCAGTCGATCCACTCCACCCTACTGAGTGTAGAACTGGAAATCAGACATGTAACACCCTACTCTTTTAAACTTTCAAATAAAAGTTTTGCTTTGGAGCATTATTTAAATTTTTTGAAAGAAAAGAAATAACTTGTTCAAATAAACTAGGATAACATTGTTCTCAAATCATAAATATCGAAAGTATAGTCATAAGACTTGGGCAAACCATAAAATCTCAATCTTAGTCTCCAGTCTTTACTCATAATCATAAAGCATAATGACTAAAGTATGCTTTACTCATAATCATAAAGCATGATAACTAAAGTCCATGGGGCTGCTTATTGATCTGGCCTCTGACATCTTCATTGGCTCTTACTACTCTCCTCTAGCTGGAAACTCTGAAATTGGATGCTCCCTCGTACCTACTATCCTACTCTATGACCTGGTGAGTGGGTTGGGGCCAGTCTAGACTGGTAAAAACCTCAAGGCACTAAAAACTTTTCCCTGCTCCTTAAAACTGTGAAAGTTGTTATTACATTTACTCCCATCCTTTAACTTTAACACTTAAAAACGTGGGAGTTGTTGTTACTCGCCATCCCCAAAATTTTAACTTAAAACTATTGATTACTTTCTAAGTAACTTACTTCGTTTATTTTAAAATGGGGATTTACCTCGACTTAGGTGGCACCACTACTAACTTTACTTACTTACTTACTTACTTACTTACTTACTGATATAATCAAAGTAGCGCAAGGTCAAGCTTCTCGAATCAAACAGAACCGGATAGGATGGAAATCGATCGGACAGTACTCACCCGTGAATAAGGGCAATCGATATATGAATCAATCAGACAGATTCAACTCGGAATAAAGGGCAATCGATATGGGTAGCTCGCCACAACCAGGGTGAATACCTAGCTGATAAGAGTCGCTCTAGCACTCTGAAGATTCTTGACAGAGTAATTAGGGCAAATTCCGCGTAGGGAACTCGGCAATAGCCTCTGAAATTCAATAATAATCGTCTAAAAAAACAAAACCAACGTGTTCAGCCCTTTAAATAGGAAAAGTACAACCCAAATCCGACTCCAACATGGAAAAATAATCATAAACCGACTTTAAAACAAGGAAACCCGAAAATAGCCCAGCAAACCCGTTAAGCAAACCCGTTAAGGCTTCTTCTTGCAATCTGCCTTCTCTCCAGCACTTCCTCCTTCTTCCTCCACTCGAATAATCATTTATGGCTTTCCTCGAAACAACTTCACGTCCATGGCTCCAAAGTAGCTCTCCAAATACGTTGCAAGCTTCTCCTTCAACGTTCTTGCCTTTGCACGTGTGACTGGCCCATTGATGTCCTCACCAGCCCCTCCTTCTTCAAAAGGATTTGCCCACAAATCCGAATTGCCATCCAAATAAGGTGCAAGATCAGAAACATTAAACGTTGCACTTACTCCGTACTCTCCTGGCAAGTCAATCTTGTAGGCGTTGCT